TGAACTGTTGGAGAGTTGTTTTTCTACGATGAGTGTGTATTTGTGTGCACTCACATTTCCTTCACAAAGCTTTGTCTACCATCCCTGGCCATTTGAAACCCACATAGTTCTTCTCATGCAGTCTCTCCAGCTTTGCATACCCACCTGGCAGCATCTACTTATCTGCCTAAGGGGGACTTCCAATTTCCTTATAGTTTCCCCACTGACTTTGATTTTAGAAATCTGACAGGAAACTGCCTCACCTAAGAACCATGAGATTCAGTTTAAGATGGCAACTGGCATTGAAGAGATTGCTGTTGTTTAGTGATGTGGTCACACTTTATGACTGCATTTTTTACTGATGGAAAAACTAGTCCCAATTGTTATTGTAAGTTGAGAATTACTTGTGCTTAACTAACAGCTACTATCAGTTTATCCCTGTAGAATTATGGAACATATATGCATTTACAATATGAGCAACATGCAAGTTCTGTGACAAAAAAAAATATTGGGGGGAAATATGCAAACAAGAAAGCACAATGCAAGAACAATTAAATATGTGAATGCTTGGTCTTGTGAAATTTCAAGATAGCTCTTCTGCTGTCCAAGCAATTATTGTTCAGAATACAGAGTTGAATTGCACTGGCTGACAGCTATTTATTCCTGTACATGGTGCAGAGTGACAATGAGAACATCTTTTCCATTACAGATCGTGCTTTGTTCAGCCATCGTGTCCCTTGCTTTGGGACTTTGCCCTTGACTCTATTTCTGGACTTTGGACCTTCGAATTGGATTTGTGTTTTGGACCATGGACTTGTCTTTGCTGAACTTTCTCTGTGTTTTTCCTGACCTGGGAAAATTGGAATCGGGTTTTGCTCTGGTTCCTGTGTGGTGAATTCTGGGGAATACTGTTCAGGGCAGGTGAAGCCTCAATAAAGACTTCAAACACTTGTGGTGTGGGATAGGACACCATGCCTTGCTTGTACTTCCCAGAAGTTGATAACTATGAAAACAGAATACTAAATAAAATTGTTTAAGGCAGTTTAAATAGCGCATCCTGGGGTAACACTTAGGAAATTTTAGTCCTGGTAATAGTCCTTGCAATACAGCTACAAATCCAACTAGACTACCAGTTGAAGATGCAGTATTTGGAGACTGGTGTCCATCTCTCCATTTCAGCTGCCAGCTCCTGCATCTACCATCTGAAGGAACACAATAGCAGATCTGATTTTGATTAAAATTTTTAATTACAGTACTATATTCAAATGTACCCCATATTTTCTATATATGCATATACTTTTAAGTCTTGGGAATTTTGCCAGGTTTTTAAAAAAGCAAATTATTGCTTATATCTTTAAATGTTTTTGTCTATTAAAAAATAAAATCAATTTATATCACAAGCAGTACTCAATTTAAAAAAAAACAAACTGAATCTTAAAAAGCAATGTTTTTGTTATCTTCTAAGAGTCAATCTAAATTTTTCTAAATAAATATTTCAAAAGGGGAAAGTAGAAACCTTTTTGCAGAAACATAATTTCCTTTGCAAAAAATATTTAAATGTTTTAAATCCATTTTATTCATTTTTCCTGCAACAATTCCGATATTCTGCAAAACTTTCAGTTAGTGAAAAGACTAACTATGATTTTGATAATAAAAATACATGGTATGATAACAAATCATAATTTATAAGTCTACAGATTTTTCATTTGCTATCTAGTGATACAATTTTACTAAGATAAACATGTGTGATGTGGCTTGACAGGTGATGGCAACAGCAAAATCATAGAGTGAATTAAATGACAAGCTGTCCTGCATGTCAAGTTTTTATTGCTGCCTTTTAATGCATAAAGATCTTCTATTAAGTGATATTTAAGGAAAGCTCATTGTCTTTGACAGTTTAGTGACATGATCTGTGAGCAGGAAAAAATAATGTCATGCTATCAAATCAAAGATGAGAAGATTACTTTAAATATTACCTAGTTTAATAGCAGAAAGTTTGCAGTAATTCAAAAAACTATTCTGTATTTTATTATTATATTATAATATTTATAGGCAAGTTTTAGGCAAATGATATGCACAAAAATGTTAATGTACCTATTTCCAGGTAACTGTTTATGAAAAGATAGTTTACAAGGATTTATTGTTTACTCCCTGAAAATAAATATTGTACTTTCCCTTTTCTTTACAGAATATAAATTTTTATTATTGTGAACATCAGTTGCAGTGTTGTCTTCATACAATTTAAGCCTTTTGATTTATTCAGATTGTACTGAAAATGTTTACTGTGCCCATCTAAAATCTCATTACAATATACAGTGTTTTTTATATCAAGCTCTGATATAAAACCACAATATATTTTTAGTATATGCTTGATTAAAATGCATGGAAAGGTTTGCTATTGAATACAGGCATAAAGTTTTATTTATTAAATACAGAAGTTTGCTGAACTCCCATTTTAAAATGTATGAAAAGTATTTTGTATAACTTCAATTTAAAAAAAAATTATCATCATCTATAGTGATAACTATAATAATAGAATAACAGAGTTGGAAGAGATCTTGGAGGTCTTCTAGTTCAACCTCCTGCTCAAGCAGGAGACCCTAAAAGTTCCAGACAAGTGGCTGTCTAATCTCTTTTCAAAAATCTCCAGTGATGGATCACCCTCTACTTCTGGAGGAAAGCTGTTCCACTGGTTAATTGTTCTCACTGTCAGGAGATTTGTCCTTAGTTCTAGGTTGCTTCTCTCCTTGATTAATTTCTATCCATTGTTTCTTGTCTTGCTTTCTGATGATTTGGAAAATAGGTTGACCCCCCCTCTTCTTTGTGGCAGCCCCTCAAATAATGGAACACTGCTATCATGTCACCCCTAGTCCTTCTTAGACATACCTAATTCCTGCAACCATTCTTCATATGTTTTAGCCTCCACCCCTAATCATCTCTGTTGCTCTTTTCTGCATTGTTTCCAGAATCTTTACATCTTTTTTTATAATATGATGACCACAACTGGTTGCAGTATTCTAAGTGTGGTCTTATTAAGTCTTAATAAACAGTATTGATGCTTCAGGTGTTTTGATTCTATCCCTCTATTAATGCAACCTAGGATTGCGTTGCTTTTTTTGGCTGCTGCCACATACTGCAGGCTCATATTTAAGATCCCTCTCATAGTTACTGCTATTGAGCCAAGTTTCATAATTTATATTCAGAGTATGAATGCAGCAAATATATTTTTATGCAAGTTGTGTATGAGAAAATTTGTGGCAAGTTCTTGGATCTACTAAAATAGCTTGAAGCATGCCTTACACTTCTGAACCATTAAACACAGGAAAGCCACAATGCGAAGAATTCCATAAGTTTGTTCTGTGTAAGCACTGTGGCATTAAGCTTTCAAACTCTATCAAAGTATGTTTGAAATGTATGCTAATGTAGAGATATTCTGTTGCCTTTGGAGTATAATATTTAGTCAGGATAGGGATTGTAACAAAAATGATTGTTAGGAAATGCTTTGTTTATTTTAATTCTCCTAAAATTCTGCCACCAGGAAATATGATGAGGTGATATGCAGAGGAGTGGAAGTTCTCTTTCTGTTACCGTAGGATAGACCGTCAAAGTCCCTTCCAACTCTGTTATTCTGTTAAATTGAGTTAGTTACTGGAGTATGCAAAAGCAATAATATTAATGTCAACCATAATCATCACTACAGCCACAACCACTGTTTTGAAATCTATTTCACTCATATAAGTTGTTAGATCATTTTGTAATATTTCAAAGAAGAAACCAAATGTTTCAAACTTGAAACAAAGACCTTATATATATATATATATATATATATATATATATATATATATATGTGAAACAGATGTTTGAAATTCAAACCTGGTCATTTATTTATTTAGAAAATAGCGATGGTATATTAAGCAAGGAGACTACAGAGTAGTTGTTTGGCTACCTAAGTCCACGCTTACATGCTATGCAAAAGTGCACCACAGGGGTACCAACGAGCTCTGCATTCAGAATGGCTAACGGCATTATGCAGCAGCATCCGGGCCTTTTTCTCTTCACTGAAGTGGCATTGCATTTGGGTAGGTCCAGTACCACTTGAATTCATACTTCTGCATGAAGTGCCATTATTTTCTTAGTGAAGTGATACAACTTGCATGTAGCATGCATTTGAACTGCTAGGTTGGCGCTGGCAAGTGACAGAAGCTCACTCCATCATGCAGTGCTAGGACTCAAACAACCAGAGCAGAGAATTTCACTAGCATCTTTAAGCCACTGAACCTCTGGGCCTCTCAAATTCAATATGAACAATTGAGTATGTTTTTGTCTATCATAAATGTATAACTAGAACAACACATGCCTTTCAGACTAAGCTATGTTTGTATTTTGCACTTCTCTAATTTACTCAAACAGCAACAACTAAAACTATATTTTGATATGCAAGATGCTTAGAAATATGTTGGAAGAAAGTGTTTTTAAAATATTCAAATTTTAAAGATTCCATTTATATAAAAATTGAAAGAAACAAATTTATGAGTCAGACACATGCAGAAGTGGTGTGAACTATAAAAGAACTATCTGTCCAACCCTACAATATATGTAATTACACTGTCTTTATAATTATTTCACTACTAAAAATGTCAGTAAAAATGGAGATAGATCCTTCTCTGTTCCCAATGATAAGAAAAGCATAAAATGAACTTGATCAGATGAGATTCAAATGGAAGTTGAAAAGATTAAGATGACAATTTTTCAATAAAAAGATGGGTGGAAGGTATGGGATTTTACCCAATTTCTTTTTGATTTATTTTATATTTACTATCTTTGTTCTTGTTTATTTTGAATATTTTATTAAATTTAAAAATTCTAATTAAAAAAAGATTCAAATAGAAGTTAAAAGATTATGACTATAATATTCCATATGAAATTGATATTCTCTATTTAAAAAATTAGGGAATACAGGATTAGAAAAAAGAGTTATTGTACAAGTATTCTATCTCATGATTTACTGATTTTATCAACAGGAAAGTTTTGAAAGAAATCTCTGTGGGGAGTCTTAAGCCCAATGAAACAGTTGAAGCAAATTTGGAAGCACAATTGTTGTCCAGGCTAGACCATCCAGCCATTGTTAAATTCTATACAAGTTTTGTTGAAGGAGGCAGTTTTTGCATCATTACTGAATACTGTGAGGTAAGACCTCTGTCCTATTTTTCTCAAGAGCTGCTGAATAAATATCCTTAAAAGGTTTTAAGGACACTCTACCCCCATCCCAATATTGTTTCAAGTTTCTTATTATTAATTTGCTTAAATGCTTACAGTGGAGTTTCCTTTCCTAAGAGAATCTTGTGAGACAATCCAGTGCAACTTTAGAAAATGATCTGGCTAAGACACTGCATTGTAAAACTAGGTATATCTTATATGGGAGCTTCTTGTTCCCTTAGTTCTGTATTTTATGTTCTTCAAGAATATAAATAACCAAATAGAGTTATAGAAAGTTTATGTTATAAAGTAAATAGGTATCTTCCTGAACATTTACGAACTTAGAATTGAACTTCATATGCTGACAGCCTGAATGCATCAGGTCGATGTCAATTAACTGTAATGCAATTGTTGTAATGACTGAGCTGCCTTCCTCTTCAATTAGTTAAAGACAGTGCTGTGTTTGTTGGGAGAGTAAGTGAGGAACCACAGGAATCAGCATAATAGCTGCTTTGCCAGTGAAGACGGTAGTTTGCTTCTGAGCTTTAGTAATTATATATGTCTCTCCTCCAATTTCCAGAAGCAGTAGGATAGAAACTTTAAAGATTCTACTTATAATTAATGCTAAGGCTGCAGCAAGCTGGTAAATCAGTGGATATTGTGATCACTTTACCTCAGAACATCCTTCCATCAATAGGTGATTATAGGGTTACTTTGCCTTGCTTAAATTAGAAACAGCAGTTCTACACATAGTTACATCATTCAAATAAAAAAAATGAGAATGGATATCTATTCTGTGCCAAAAAATTCTATTAATTTAATCTGTTTTTCCAAGCCTTTCCTACAAGAATGCACTATATGACTGGTTTCATCCTTGTTGGTATTCATCGATGTTGGGTAGTCAGATGTTAACACCATGGAGTTCAAGTCTTCAGCTAGGAATTGAACTCACAGATCTTTGCACATCATGACTATATACAGTGCATTAGTTTTAGGTTATGTAGGTCCTCATGCTAGCTTTTGAATTGCACAGAGCACTCATGGAGTTAAAACAGTTATATAAATGTGAATTAATATTTATTAGTAAAAACAACAGAAGGAGCTCTGATTGTGTTTAATAAATTCCTTTCCACTAATTTTAATGAATTAAGATGTAATGTTTTCAACAGAATGTACATTTGCTCCTGTGTTTCAGGGTCGAGACCTTGACTTTAAAATTCAAGAGTACAAAAGAAGTGGCAAAGTATTTCCTGAAAGTCAAATAGTGGAATGGTTTATACAGTTATTACTAGGAGTAAACTATCTACATGAAAGGTATAGCAGTTTTATTTGTCATACTATAAATTGAAGCTATGTTTCCATTGCTAGATTGCTGACATAGCAGGAACATTTTAAAAGCTTGTGGAATAGTTATTTATCTTTAATATGAAATTCTGTCCAGCAACCTGGGTTTGGATTATTAATTTGTGGCTAAAGTGAGTGTGCCCTTTTAAATAATATATTTTCCAAAGTGTGTACCATTTTGAATCTCACTATTATTTCCACAAAGATGAAATAGCAAATATATTGAAAATGCATTTTGGCTTATTTCCTAAGAAAGCTAATGTGAACATGCAAACTACTATTTTCTAAATGTGAAATTATCTCTTATGTCTCCTCATTATTATGAAAGTGAAAAATATTTCATTGTCCAAACAAGAAGAAATAGCTATTTCCTTCAGATGCAGCATTCATTTTAGGCTGTATAAAAATTAGTCTTCTCCCTGCTGGCATGATATTGATTTCTGAAGCAGACTTTCTTCAATAGAGATATCAATTCAGATCATTAACATATCTACAGTCAGTATGTTTGCAAATATCACTTTCAAATGTTGCTAATCAACTGCAATACAAACTCAGAACATGATTTCTTCTCATCCAAATTAATCTGATTTAGGTATAAGTGAGGTACCTGGTACCTGACTAAAAAAATAGTAACACAGTAACCCCCTTCATGTCATTTTTAAAGTGGGAGGATTATTTAAAACCTCTTTGTATGCACAGTGAGCTGTCCCTTGCTCTGCCATGTTCATGCCATGCTTGTGGGCCACTGATGTACCCTCCCCCACCTAGCAGCAGCCACCCCCACCACACTCATGCCATGACTTGTACATTTACAAGTTCTTCACCAACTAGGAACAGCCAGTCATGTTACACTTGTGCGGTGCGCTATGCCTTAGTTGCCTGTTTGCCTGTTTGCAACCACTTGGGACTTGCTTAAGAATCCATGAGCCTTATTTAACAATGGCAATAGAGAGTGCTGGTATTGAGATTGCTAACCCATGTAGCATCTGATGTCATGCTTTAAAACAATTTGATATTAACATTATTCAAAATCAAAAAATTGACTTAGTTGTTAATAAATGTGTTCAGGACTGCAGTCCAAAAGCAATTATATTAATACAGTTAGAGGACATGTTTAAGTTTTATAACATGACAAGATACATTTATTACAATAACAAATTATTTTTCCCCTATTATTGGAATAATGGTTTTTTTAATTTTCAGGCGAATACTTCATCGAGATTTGAAGGCTAAAAATATTTTTTTGAAAAATAATCTGGTTAAAATTGGTAAGATATAAAAAAGTTACTATTTATTTTTCTAGGGGCATGTAGAGAGGCGGAGATGGCAAGGCAGATGAAATTGAAGACCAGTTTAGTTAAAGAGGCCCAACAAAAGTTTGAATGCTAACTCCATGCTTAGACCAAGAGATAGGAATTCTTACCACTTTCCCTGCCCAGGCTTATTACCCCACAGATTCCCAAGTATTTTTCTTTTAATGAAACATTAGCTTAGGACCAGATCTTAGTTTTAAAGTATATTCAACAGGGTGAAACTGCCTCTCTTTATTTAAAAACTCTTTATCTATTCCAGCGGTTCTCACCTGTGGGTCGGGACCCCATTTGGGGTCGAATGACCATTTCACGGGGGTCGCCAAACAACGCAGCCCGCCATTTTTTCCCCCTTTTCCTTAGCTGTGCTACTCCCTTTTATTCTATTGGCTTTGGAAAGCCAATAGAATAGACTCTCTTGAATAGAGTCTAATTCTATTGGCTTTCAAAAGCCAATAGGAATTGTCCAGGCTGTCTCTGCCCTGCTGAGCCCGCCAAAAGTCCCATTCTGCAAACGGTGCTGCACCAGTTGAGTAGTCCTCGACTTACGACTGGTTGAGTAGTCCTCGAATTACGACCGGTTGGGGGTCGTGGCATTAAAAAGGTTGAGAACCACTGATCAATTCTCTCCCAGACTGCCATTGTAATGGCTAGATTTGCACAAACCCATGTACATGTGGCACAAAAAAAATATTACTGTAAGAGGTCCTTAGTTAGCTGATTCGTGATGACATTCTTCAGTGATCAAAGCATATGCTGGGATCCAGCATATGCTTACTTTTATCAAAAAAAAAATCATTGCCATTACTTTTCAAGGTTACCACAGTATTGTAGAAATTGTGTGTTTATTTTGTTACACATTATGTAAAACATACCATTGTTTTTGTTCTCCTTATGCTAAAGACCTCAGACTACATGAGAGCATGTTAATTGAGAAAAAATGTATTTCCATCATATTAACAATTCCATTAATATTTTTATTGTTAATTATCACTACAAAATAATGTATAAACTACCATCCTATAACTTCTGCTGTCATAAATCCTTATTTTATAATTGTGCTCTGATTTTGAAATAATTTAAAATAATTATGTTCTTCTGTATATATATATAGCTCTGCTTTTTTAAAAAAAGAAAAAGTATGATTAAGTTCTGGATGTGCATAAATGTGCATTTGCTTCCAGATAATCCTTAATTTACAACCATTCATTTAGCAATAGTTCAAAGTTACAACAGCACTGAAAAAATGATTTACCAACAATCCTCATTACTGTCAATGGGAGAAGTCAGATTCATTTAATGACCACATGATTCACTTAACAATTGCAGTGATTCACTTAATAGCCATAACAAAAAAGGTTATAAAATTGATCATGACCCGCTTAACAACCAGTTTGCTTAGCAACAGAAATTGTAATTCCAATTATGGTCATAAATCAAGAATTATTTATATACACAATATCATAACACATTTTAAAACTAAGTTGGTAGCCCTTTTTTTAAAAAAAAAAATAGTTCATTGGGGATAAAAGCTTAATCCAAGGTGGCGCAGCAGTTAGAGTGCAGTACTGCAGGCCACTTTAGCTGACTGTGTTCAGCAGGTCAGCGGTTCAAATCTCACCGGCTCAAGGTTGACTCAGCCTTCCATCCTTCCGGGGTAGATAAAATGAGGACCCAGATTGTTGGGGGCAATGTAAATATATCTCATAAATAAATAAATAAATCTGTGAATTGAAGGCAGATATGGACAACTACTTTATTCATAATATTAACCACTATTTATTCTCAGTTTATAAAGGTGTTATTAGGAGCCTGTGAAAATGTCTTACAACTATGTGTTTTAATTTAAATAGTTAGCTAGCTTTAGCTTAGTTTAGTTTTTTACTTCATTGGTTGTTTTTCTACCAGATTACTACATGTTAACTCTTCTTTTTAAGGGGACTTTGGAGTTTCTCGCCTCTTGATGGGATCCTGCGATTTAGCAACTACCTTTATTGGGACACCTTTCTACATGAGCCCAGAGGCATTACAACACCATGGTTATGATACAAAATCAGACATTTGGTGAGGAGACAGTGCTATGTTCAAATTCATTTCACCACAATGATCATGCAAGCACAAAAGTAGTCTATTTTCTTTATATGTTAGGGTTTTTTTTTTCTTTCTATGGAATTCTATACCTCCCGAGCACACACTTATTAGAATAAATAGGCTACCACCCTATGTAAATGTTTATTGTAAGGATGATGCTTTATATTGTTCTGAGTGGTTAGTCTGACATTCCTCTTCATATCTTTAACTTTTCTTCTGGAAAAAAGAGATTTTATTGTATTCTATTAACGTATACTTTTGTGGCACAATTTTTCTTCTATTTGAAAATGGGTTTTTATTTAGGTTATTTAATAAACTGATAAATAGCAATAGCACTTAGACTTACATACCACTTCGCAGTGCTTTACAGCCTTCTCTAAGTGATTTACAGAGTCAGCATATACCCACCAACAATCTAGGTCCTCATTTTACCGACCTCAGGAGGATGGAAGGCTGAGTCAACCTGGAGCCACTCAGAATTGAACTCCTGGAGTGAGCAATGAATTAACTTAAAAACTTTTAAAAATATGAGCAAGATAGAAAAAAGGCAGTAAACATTTCTGTAGACCTATCACACAAGCAGTCTTGCTTTGTCTTTCAGTTCCAGATTTTGAATCAATGCAGTTCTAAATCATACTTAGCCCTAGACCAATGCCTCCTGGGGATTCTGTTGTGACATTGGGGCCTTAGCAAGAATTATTTCTGTTTTTTTGTAGGTAAGTTAGATAGGTGCCATTTTTTCTTGTATTATTATTATTGAGGTTTTTTGCTGTTGCAAAGTTGTCCGGTCTTTGGTTTGCTTGTATGAAAGAAATTGTCTTGGGCTATATATAAAATATATCTTAGTTAACTTATTTTTTAAATATGTTTTGTTATATGTGGGACCACATTACTAACTGTTCAGGTTTGCCTGCAGCTCAGGAGCTGCAGGTTGGCTTCATTTCTTCTAAATGATTCATCCTTACTTTTATATAAAAATACAGCAGTTTTAAAAAGTGCTTTACAAACAATATTTAGGTTTATACCTAGCAAAAGTAATACAGTAGTCTCCAACTTGTTTTGGCATCTCTCTAGCAAATAGCTTATTCTTCTTGAGTTTGACCCTGCAAAAGAAAAGGAAGTCTTAGCTTTAAACAACATTTCTCAGCTGTACTTAACTGTAAAGAATTATATTTCAGTAAGCATGATTATCTGCAGTTGAACTGTTTGTGTTAGTAAGATAAGGCTAATAAACTCTAGGAGCTTCACCTTGCTTTGTTTCGTCTGCTATAAAAGTAGTTTGGTTTTTGGTTTGGCTGTGGATAATTCCTAGAGATCCCATTTCGCTTATTGTGCTAAAGCAGTGGTTCTCAACCTTTTTAATGCTGCGACCCCAACCGGTCGTAAATCGAGGACTACCCAACCGGTCATAAGTCGAGGACTTTCCCTGCCCGGAAGTGCCGTGCATGCGTGGTGCCGCCCCCCTGCGCCGGCTGAGGCGTAGCTTGCAAGCAGCAGAGACAGAGCAGGCCGACCACCGGCTGGGCCACCAGCTGGCCCAGCCCAAGGGAGGTAAGGCACCCGCCAGGCCCCATGCGCGCCAGCAACCCTCCCTGCACCCGCCGGCCTACCACCTCCCACCGCTGGCCCTCTTTTACTTACATTTTTAGTAGTTGCTCAGCAGGGAGGGGTGGAAACTACCAGACAGCTCGCCTTCGCCGCAGACAACTTGCAGCACCGTTTGCAGAATGGGACTTTTGGCGGCTCAGCAGGGCAGAGACAGCCTGGACAATTCCTATTGGCTTTTGAAAGTCAATAGAATTAGACTCTATTCAAGAGAGTCTATTCTATTGGCTTTCCAAAGCCAATAGAATAAAAGGGAGTAGCACAGCTAAGGAAAAGAGTTGTTTGGCGACCCCCGTGAAATGGTCGTTCGACCCCAAATGGTTGAGAACCACTGTGCTAAAGAAAACAGAAATGTATCTATCTAGTATAGTCAGCACTGGCCAATGTTATAAGTAATCCTTGTTGAACTACTGGTCACTTAATTGGCATTTAAAATTATAGTGTACTCCCTCCAAAAGCTCTTCAGAAGGTAAGTGAGGAGGAGGGCATGGGGCCTAATGTAGTGGGAACCAGACCCAAAACTTGCGGGAACTTAAGGAGCAGAAAACAATAGATGGGAGATATCTTAAGGAGACCTGGGGCAGTTGGACCTTGATTTGTGCTAGCCTTTTGGGCCCTTCCCTCACCCATGAGGTATCTTGAACTCCACTTAACAACCTACATGTTTGTTTAATAACTGCATCAGGGAGAGCAGAAGGTGGGAGTCATTAACTAACACTGCTTTACTTAATGGGTATCATGACATGCAACACTAATTACAGCCAAAAGTCAAAGACTATTTATTTAAAAGAACAGAATCAAATAAAAATTGACAATCTGACAAAACAGCATACAGTCTGTCCATAGTATGCTCCAACTGGAAATGGTTTACCCAAATATCCTAAGCAAGGCTTGGAGGAAATATCAGGTTTTCAAAAATTGCTTGTAGATCAGCACATGGGAACCATTCAAAGTTTGTGGGGGTGCCATTCCAAAGCATAGATGCAGTGGAACTAAAGCAATTAACTAATATTGCTAATTCACAAGTAATCCATGAGTGCTCAAAATTAACAATGGACCATCCAGAACTATTTACAACTTACAACTGGTTTTGGGAGTTATGATGGCACAGACAAACACAAAGCGATTGGGTGATTGCATTTGGGTTGTTGGCAAATAGTTCAATTTTACAATCATTTGCACCATCCCTTGATCACATGGCTATGATTTGTGACTTTTTTTTTACTGATTTCCAATGTGTACTTCTAATTCCTGGCAAAAAACACCCATTGGGGAAAATGGATTTGCTTAACAACTGCAGTGTTTACTTAATATCACTATGTTCACCTAACAGCTGCCATAAAATAGTCATAACTATGAACCATGTGATGCCATGACTTATGATTGTAATGACTTATGACCATAATTCTGGGCCAATGACCATAACTCAAGGATTATCTGTATTTTTTACAATTTTTCCTGAGATATGAATTTTTATCTTGCTTATGTACTTAGGGTGATTGCAAAGAATCTATTTTATTATTCATTTATCTAAATTTATGCTGGGCATGATTTATAGTTTGGAGAAAATAAATTTTATTTTTGTCTGTAGGGAATTTATCGTTTCTTTTCACCAGGATTACAAGATAAGTACAAGCAGTCACTAGACATGCATTTGAAATCACTACTTGTCCTTGAATCATTTTTATCTTGTATTATAGGTCACTTGGATGCATTTTGTATGAGATGTGTTGTTTGAGTCACGCATTTACTGGTCATAGTTTTTTGTCCATTGTTTTGAAAATTGTAGAGAGCAAAACACCTTCTCTTCCAGACAATTTTCCAAGAGAACTTGATGCTATCCTGCATAGGTGGGTATGTTTGTTTGGATTTTATTTATTTTTTCTATTATATCTTTTGTTAATGTCAATATTGATTCATTTCATATTGTTAATATTTCAGTATGCTGAATAAGAACCCTTCACTGAGGCCATCAGCTGCAGAGATTTTAAGAAGCTCATACATTGATGATCAATTACAGGTATTTGGAATGCCTTCTTAGATGTGCTTAAAAACATAGATTAAAATGTCATTGTATTATACAAAAGTAAAAACTATAAAATATAGTTATAAGTAAGGTTGCTCAGAAATACTGATCAAATTCTTGAGAATTATATCTAAAGTCATTGATCTGTAAGATACTTGATTGAATATTTAATGCAGAAGGATCTGTATTATTACAAGATTGACAGAAGTACTATTTTGTTATGAGATCAACTGTATTTTAGCAGTCTGCATTCATATTCTGAAAATTCTACCTCTAAAAAATTAAAACATTTCATTTTAGATGTTCAAAATTTGGTAGAAATGAAATAAGGGCTATTTGCTATTAATAGTTTAAATTTTCAGAAAGTCAGATAGGTATCTTTCACACACTCCTACACAGAGACAGACAGACAGAGGAGAGAGTCCCATCCTCAATTTTTTTTTTTAAAAAAAAGAACAATTTTAAAATACAGGCACAATTTGTTGATCATTTTCCTTTCTGGGGAGGAAAATGCTTTGGATTTTGATTCCTGGATTTGAATATTTGGAACATCTCCAGAATCATACTACCATACTTTTGTTTAAAGTTCAGATTAGTATTAAGATGATAAGTGGTGGAGAGACCCACTTTATATCAATTAAAATTCTGGGAAACAGAATATCATGGCAATTATACACCACACATTTTAAAAACTCTTTTAAAATAATCTAGAAATACTGTAACAAAAAAAAAAAAAACCAAACAAACCCCAAAGTGACATTTGCAGAACAGATTGCAATTGATTAGAAATAATGGCATTTCTTTTGTATTTCAATCAAGGGCCTTTTTGTCCCCGGTGAAAAATAAGAAAAAAGACTAAAGCAAAACTTATTAGTATTTGCTTCTGTTTCCTAAGACATGTACATGCATCTCTGCAAAAACTCCTAGGCTGCCACTTGCTCTTTAAGCAAGAGTCAGAAGTGTCTGAGGACCCCAGATTTTGCACTTTGCCTTTTTTTGGGCCACTTATTCTGTTCTTCCAGAATAAGAGATGGCAATCCATGGAATCAGAAGGGTACCAAATCCAAGCCTACTCAATCTTCCAGGACTATTTCCCATTAAGCAACCCTCTCCACTCCAGCCTTCAGATATCAGGACAGGACAGGACAGGACATCAACTTGCTTAATTCATCATGGGCAGATTATAAAGCTGGGTTTCATTAGCAAAGTGATGATATCTCACCCCCTGATGACTGAGGATCTCACCCAGTGCTCCAGATGTTAAATGGGAGCAGAGAAAGCAATGGACTCTGCTGAATGTTCCATATAAAATATCCAGTGTCAGAGGCAGCCTGCCATTCAGTACTATGTGTCAATACTATGTGTATATAATATCAGAGGAAAGTCTATTGAGCTACTAATGACTATTAAGTAAAGAGAAATTTGGGCTAGTCAGGCCTTTAGCCTATGTCAGCAGGGATATTCTTTGTAGGTCACCTACCTTGTCCCTTTGCTAAGTGCAGAATCTGCTAGACTTAATGCAATTTATATGAAACATAAAAGGAATTCGCTTTGTAAAAGACCCAGAAGTTATGAAATACTTCCTTATTAAAAAAAAGTAAATTGTTACGATTCCTGTTTTCTGACAGATTATGAAATATAAGCACACAAATGTGATTACAAAGGATTGGAAGTTTAATTCTCAGGAAGAAGCTGATCATATAATAAGTGCTGTGTGAGTATGGGATTCTTGAACTTTACAAAAGCAAATCAAATCAAAACCAAATAAAAAGGAAATTCATTTCCATGAATAGTTCTTAATCTGTAAATAATAATAATAATAATAATAATAATAATAATAATAATAATAATAATAATAATAAAAAGTTGAAAGGGACATTGGAGGTCATCTAGTCATCTGCTCAGGCAGGAAACCCTATACCATTTCAGACAAATGGCTGTCCAGTCTCTTCTTAAAAACTTCCAGTGTTGGAGCATTCACCGCTTCTGGAGGCAGGTTGTTCCACTGGTTAATTGTTCTAACCGTTAGAAAGTTTCTCCTTAGTTCTAGGTTGCTTCTCTCCTTGATTAGTTTCCATCCATTGCTTCTTGTCCTGCCTTCAGATGCCTTGGAAAATAGCTTGACTGCCTCTTCTTTGTGGCAGCCCATGAGATATTGGAACACTGCTATCATGTCCCCCCCTCGTCCTTCTCTTCATTAAACTAGACGTACCCAATTCCAACAGCCTTTCCTTATATGCTTTAGCCTCCCCTAATCATCTTTGTTGCTCTTCTCTGTACTCTTTCTAGAGTCTCAACATCTTTTTTACATCGTGGTAACCAAAACTGGATGCAGTATTCCAAGTGTGGCCTTACCAAGGCATTGTAAAGTGGTATTAATACTTCACGTGATCTTCATGATATCTGTTGCTGCTTCCTTCAAGAAAATTCTTTACAGAAATTTCAGGCATTAACAAAGGCCATCAATTAATTTGCAATAACTGACACATATTTCTATATTAATATAAACTGTATGTTCTATTTGCATTATTTATGCATTAAACTAATTTGAATACTATTAAAAGCAGGGCTTTTTTTCTCATAGAACACCCAGAACAAAGTTCTGGCACCTTTTTTGGATGGAACCTTGTAGGGTAGGCAAGGCGGGTTGTATGACGTGTGAGTTCTGGCATCTTTTTTTTTTTTTTAGAAAAAAAGCACTGATTGTATCAAAATACAATTGTATAATAATTAATAAAGTAATTAAACTCATATCCCTTTGAGTTTTACTTGGATCTGGAATTGGGTTTTCTTCTAATCCTACTTTACTTCCATTCCATTAATTATCAATTACTGCTTCATTCTACAGTGCAATCATTTCTTTTTTAGCTTCCTTGTTTTTTGGAAGCAACATCTTCAGTGTTAATATGTTACACTTTTCTTCCAAGATAGGTGTATATCACTGAAAATCTGACCATAGTATTATTTGGTTTGCTAATAAGTAGCAAACAAGCAAAAATTTCACTTTAGTGGCAACTTAGCTGACCTATATAGTGCATTTCTGTTCTAGTCTTTTGCTTGCTTTCATCTCTAACATTAACCCTAACCCTTATTTTCTATTGTTTGCTGCCAAATTATATATTATCTCTTTATTTATCAATCTTGGCAAATTTAAGATGTGGGAAGTTCAATTCCCAGAATTCCCAATATGACTGGCTGGGAATTCTGAGATCTGAAGTTTACAAACTTCAGATCTCAGTTTCCAAGCTTGATAAACATTGTAATATAGAATCCCTCTCTCTTTCCAACCCTGATGTTTTAAATGCAACAACATTTAATCTGATCAGAATTTAGGTACTATTGTAGCAATTCTAAATCGTTAAATCCAATAGTATTGTCATAGAGATTTGGCTACTACAAGAACTGCTGTAGAGCTAAATAATAAAATACTTTTTCCTATTTTGAAAGAGCAATTTGCATCAAGTAAATATGGCATCACAGAACTAGCAGAGATTCCTTAACCTATCCCAGTTTTCTGATGGATACATAAGCATTTAGGATGTAGCAACAGGAAGCACCTGCATGTTACTGCTTTTTAAAGACATCTTTAAACAAGATGTGGCCCATATACCACTGTATGAATAAAAGTGAAACAATGGCTTCTTTAAGGGACAGTCAACAGATAGAGAGTGCTGATCTTAGACTTGAAGGACTCTTGACCACTTTGATGCTAAGTAGTCCATATCACTGTTGGATTACTAGATTTCAGGATAGCCAGGAACAATCTCTACTCAATCAAAATTGTATATCAATTGCAACTTTGTGGAAATATCAGTTTATACTATAGGTGTATCAATTTTGGATCATGAACTGCCATTCTCAAGAATGAATGTTATAATCCCCAAATAACAAAAGTCCTCAGAATCTCTTTGAAATCTAGCCATGTCAGTTCAGTCAGGGAGTCTACTGTGCATCAGGATGGCTGATTCACTAACAGGATCTTCATTGTCTCCTGATTATCCAGATCAATGTGTATATCTTTAATGAATAAAGTCCATTATAGGGAATCAGAAAATGTAGATAATTTGTGAGCTGTTGCAACAGGTTTACAGCTCCATTATATGGAATAACAGATGTATTTATTTATTAAACAAATATATATGACCAACCAACTGAAACACAGATGATAATAGGTGAGTGTAGTGACATCCTGCTAGGCTTGCTTAGTAATATCAGCTAACCTCTTATCTATTAGAAAAGTGTGTTTTGTTTTCTGAATCTAGGACAAATTGCAGTTCAGTAGGACTAGCATTACAGTCCTCATATGGATTTGGATTTCATATGTAAAAAAGGGGAGAAAGGATTTATTATACCTGCATGAATCTGTTCTCTCTGAGCAAATCTACCTTTCCTTTTCTATTGTATCTTCTTTGTCTCACAAAATGACAAAAGCAAACACAAAGGAAGAAACTTTTTTTTTCTTATGATTCATTGAACAACAGAAATTCTTAAACACATGGTCATAATCTCTCTAATTTCAGTCTATTTTTTAATAATCCTCAAAACAGATGTAGGTTTGGGATTTATCAAGAGCTATGGTTGCATTCTCATTTCAGCCCTCTTCCTCATTCCACCAATTCTTGAGAGATAATAGTTAAATTTATCCCTGACCAGCACTTCCAAGCTTCTACCTTTAGATAGCTCAAAGCAGTTCCTATCCATATAGACAAAGAAAGCTTTGTTCCTGTTACTCACAACCATGAACAATAGCCCATTAGAGGTCTTTGTTGCTTTCTGAACTTGGTTATTTTCTTGCAGACATTTCATTACTCAGATTAGGTAACATCAGTTATAATAAGGAGTGGGGTTTCCTCTCAGTTTATATTCGAGTGACTGGCCCTATCTGTGTTGGTGGGGGTAGTCTTAGACCAGTGGTTCTCAACCTTTTTAATGCCGCGACCCCCCAACCGGTCGTAAGTCGAGGACTACTCAACCGGTCGTAAGTTGAGGATTACTCAACTGGTGCAGCACCGTTTGCAGAATGGGACTTTGGGCGGGCTCAGCAGGGCAGAGACAGCCTGGACAATTCCTATTGGCTTTTGAAAGCCAATAGAATTAGACTCTATTCAAGAGAGTCTATTCTATTGGCTTTCCAAAGCCAATAGAATAAAAGGGAGTAGCACAGCTAAAGAAAAGGGGAAAAAATGGCGGACTGCGTTGTTTGGCGACCCCCTTGAAATGGTCGTTCGACCCCAAATAGGGTCCCGACCCACAGGTTGAGAACTACTGTCTTAGACACTCTTTGCTTGGGCTGTTTACTGTTTGGCAGTTTCTGGATTAGGGTATTGTTTACTTGATTGTTGGTCTGATGTTAATCTTGAGGTTAATCTATGCTCCTCTGGGTGCTAATTGGTGGTATAGGAGTGCTTAAGTCTTTTTGTTCACTTTTTTGATTTGCTGATTGTTTCTTTTGCATAGTCTATAGATATTATTTATGTCTATTTGTTCATTGATGACTAACTTGTCAGAGTGTCAGATTTCTAAAAATTCCCTAGTGTTTTTGGACTTGGCTTGGTTTAGGATGATCACAGTTTACCAATTGAAACTATGGTCAAGTCTGTCCAAAGAGTTTTCAAAATGATTTCTAACCGCTTCTTCATTTTCATGAATGCATTCTGCCAGTTTTTTGCCTATTTGTCCTTCTTAGTGATTGTTGCAGTCATTACACTATTTGTTGAAGATTATTCTTGTTTTTCCTTCTGGAGTTGCTGGGTCTTTTGGTTTGCTTAGGATCTTTTGGAGAGTTTTGGTTGGCTTCTGTGCTATGCTGATTCTATGTGGTTTTATTAGTTGGTGCTTTCTGAGATGTTGGTGTATATCAGTGTTATTCTTTTTAGGGCACAATAAGCAACCCAACATAAAGGACTGGTTTTTCAACGTAAGATTATCTGGCATCTCAAATCTTGATTCTTAATATCTCCTAACATCTTTACTATATAGCTCAAAGCAATTAATATAATGGTCCAGTGTACACTTTTTTTTTTATTATTATTGAAATTTTTCAAAAGTTTTACAAGTAAGAATCCACCCCCCCCTCCCCAACCACCCCACCCCCCCCCCGACTTCCCAGAACTGAATATAGGATTATTTAACAAATATTTTAAAAATAACATTTACAACTTATAAATAATTATATAAAATAATAGTAATAATATCACATAATAATAATATATATATAACATGAACATTTAAAATGAATAATATATACTAAAAAAAAAAAAAAAGAAGAGAGAGAGAGAAAGAAGAAAGAAGAAAATAGACGAAGAATAAAGCATATATATATAAAAAAAAAAAAAGAGAAAAAAAAATATATGAATAATAATACGTAAAAAATGTATATATAAAGAAAAAGAAGAAAGAAAGAAAGAAAAAACAATCATTACAAATTATAAAAAGGCTAAATAATATTTTTCCATATCCAGATTTTGTTGTATAAAATTTATCCATTTTTCCCATACCGCAAAAAAATTTTCTTGAGATTGCTCCTTTAAGAAAGCCGAAATCTTTGCCATTTCTGCCAAATACGAAACTTTATGAAACCATTCTTGTAAAGTAGGCAAAGATTCCTTCTTCCAATATTGTCCTATTAACAACCTAGCGGCTGTAATCAAATTTAACATCAATATAACCTCCTTAGCATCACAGTCAATAACAATACCTAGTAAAAATAATTGCGGAGTAAATTTTACCCTTCTTTTAAAAATTCTTTGAATATTCCACCATATCTTAATCCAAAAAGCTTTTATATGCTTACACGTCCACCAAATATGGTAATAGGTAGCATCCAAATATCCACATCTCCAGCATTTCGGCTGTAGATTAGGGTACATAATGGACATTTTCTTTGGGTCAAGGTGCCATCTATAAAACATCTTATAAAAATTCTCTCTTAAATTTTGCGCTTGTGTGAATTTAACATTTCTTATCCAAATAAGTTCCCAAGTATCCATTGAAATCGTTTCACCAATATTCTGTGCCCATTTAATCATACAATCTTTAACTAGTTCAAGTTCTGAATCTAATTCCACTAAAACCCCATAAACTCTCTTAATATGGGTTGGCCTTTGATCTCTTACTTGTTTTAAAAAAATTTCATCTTCTCTAAGCCAGCCCATTTTACAATCCATCTTCCATCTATCCACTATTTGTCTATATTGGAACCATGAATAAGTTAAGTTTTCATGTGTTAATTCTTCCAAAGATTTTAACTGCCAGTCTTGGCCATCCCATCTTAGTAACTGTACGTAAGAGACCTTGTCCATATTTACCCCTTTCCTTATACCTTCTATGGCATGCCGAGGTATAGCCCATAATGGTATTTTGAAGTCACTTTTATAATACTTTCTCCACACTCTTAGCAAAGAGTTTCTTATAATATGAGACTTAAAAACCCAATCCACTTTTTTATTAAATATTAAATAGGCATGCCATCCAAAAAGTAGGTCCCAGCCTTCCAAATGAAGTATTTCTGTATTTGTTAAATTCACCCAGTCGCTAATCAATGTCAATACTACAGCATCATAATACAATTTCATATTTGGTACCTTGAGTCCACCTCTCTCACGAAAATCTTGCATTATTTTAAGTTTCACCCTTGGTTTTTTCCCTGTGTCCAGTGTACACTTCATAATCAATAGTCTTCTGTTTAAACTGCAAAGCTAGAATCTTTATGATACATTGGATAATGAGGTCAAAAAAAGATAATGTCATCAGTATGGTTTTTCATTTCTTATGTAATTATTAAAGCTTCAAGGGTACCCCTTTGTTCTTTTTATTTTTAAAAAAAATTAATATCAGTCATGTCAAATGAAATGAGTTCAAAGTTCTTGATTTACATAATTTAATTATAAATGAAGCAAAGTATTAAAAATTAATACAATTAGAGTCTTCCTTTTGTTAATGTATCATGCATCTTAATTGTATCTTTTCATTTGTTGGCAGTTCTACTACTCTGTTGATAATTAGAACACTATTATAAACAAGTATGTTTAAGCACAATAAACAAACTATATGAATAAATTGACGATTCAGCACTATTTTTTTAAAAAAATGAATATCTTTTTAAATTAGTACTTTTATGATTTCATTTTGTGACAATAAATTCAGTTCATTTTAAGTGTGTTGATTCTCAATAACATTAATGAGACCAATTCAAACCATTACTAACTTGCTCCTTTGATGTCAGGTCATTCAATCTGTCTCCAACCATAACAACAAACTGGAGAGAACCAGTTCCATCTCACAGGGTTGTTGTGGGGAAGATAAGAGGAAAAAGTATTAAGTATGTGTGTGTGAATGAGAGAGAGGGGGGAGGGAGGGAGGGGGAGATAGATGATAAGATAAATTATTTGTGGTTTATTCAAAAAAATTGTGACAATGGATTAATGATCTGTTGAATTTTACCAACAAGCACTTAAATCCAACAAAATATATAACATTCAGAGTAATAAAATTTATTAATTCTAATAGAATTCTAAAACCTTTTGGAGATCATGGAGCCTGCAATCTCACACACTCATACTGGAGTGAGGCTTATGATACAATAAAATACAGTACAGTACATTGTAATATAATACATACCTTTACTTTTTTTCTTGATAGAGGTTGTGCTTTTGTTATGGACCTGGAGTTAAACTCGCATTCCGTATAACAATTTGTGTTAGATGGAAAAAATCTGGGAAATCTTCCGGGGGAGGTGGGACAGAGATTTTTTGTTGTTGTTGTATGTGAATTTCCTTTAACACATGACATAAGGTATATTTTTGTGAACTTTTGAATTTCCTTTAAGACATGACATAAACTTCTCTTTCCAGCTTGATATCACTAACTGCCTTCTTGCTTCTAATTTTCTATTTCAATTTTATTATTTTTCCTAAATTTTAGACAGAAAAAGGTACATCTCCAAACTCTGAGGGCCATATCTGAAGTGCAGAAAATGACACCACGTGAACGGATGCGATTGCGGAAATTAAATTTAGCTGATCAAACAGCACAAAAGCTAAAGTAAGTAAACGCTTATTTATAATTTTATCAAAAGCATTTATAATCCGAAAGTGATGATTTGTTATACTCAACCATTATATTTCCCTCTTGTAAATTTTATATATAGTATCTTTTGCTTTTTAATTCTGAAAAAGGAAGCTAACAGAGAAATTATTTATTACAGTATTCTAGTCCTTTGGGTCCCTCAGATACTGATATAATTAATGGAATAACTATTTAGTTGCTTTCAGAATACTTTTTTCATCACTGTTACCACTTGTTTGGACAGCTATTATGACTACACAATATCATGCAGTTTTCTGTCTATTTGGTTGTATACATATTTCAAAGCCCTATAAATGGGAGAAATAGGGCAAAAATAGCAACTTGCAAAATAGTAAAATATATAGAATTTGTGTGTATTTATAATTAAAGCCTATTTTATTAGAACTACAGATATGTCACAATTATTTTAAATTTGAATAATGCAGTATTTAATTTAGATCATATTATAAATTGATACCAGGTTGTCTTTAACGTGATCCAAAATTCAGTTAATGCGAGACTAGGGTTTTGAAAGAAAAAACAGGTTCAATTCCAAGCTGGAAATAAAACACTGGAAATAAAATGGAGGCTGATTAGGAAAGAAGGTTTCTGTTTATTGATGATGAACAGAATCAACAACAGTATGTAGTTCAGGGACATCTGACAAAATTGCTTAGTGATTGGATGGATCTTTATGGGGCTCTGAGACTTTGAAGTGGAAATGTTTCTGGGTTGTGCAATGAGGTGGGTTTTTGTGTCTTTTGCTAGTCTGAAGAGGGTGTTAATCTTTTTATGTCCTAAAGATCATGTCCTGTCCTTAGATTTTGGGTAGGGGAATGTAAATTCTTAATCCTATCAGCTGTGGGGGCTGAAGAAATTTTGTTTATGAATATATTGGCCCAGTCCTTCTTAATAGATACAAAATATCCATCTCTGAAGACTTGAGGCTTCTGCTTGAGGCTATTAAAAAGACTCTGGCTGCTTTCTGCCTTCGTTAAGATTTTTTTCTCTCCATTTCTCCTTTGGGGGAAATATTCTATCCTGCCTATTCTTAATATTAAGAATAAGGAATATTTTAATCTGGGGGGGAGGCTTCCTACAAAGGCATGTGCAATTGAAGCTAGTGAATGCACAGTTGCAGTTGGCAATTTAGACAAGTTTAAAAAAGAAAAGTTTCATTAGAACAGACATGTCAAACACAAGACCCATGGCCCGCATCTGGCCCACGATTGGCTGATATTTGGCCCGTGGGGATGTCCCGGAGATGGAGAGGGACTGGCCCCTGCCACCTTGGCTCCGGCCCCGCCCAGCCTGGCAGCTCCCAAGGCACGTGCACAGGAGGCGGTGAGTGCACTGAAGTTGACATTGTCCGGCAGCAGGGAATGTGTAGTCTGTTGTGAATATCAGGCTGGCCCTACAGCAGCAGCACTGTTGTAGCACTGGCAGCATGGGAGTCTGGGCAAGTAATGCGGACCACCAGACATGCCTACTCCATCCCATCTTTTTTTTGTTGGAGAGCATCTCTTCAGCCCCCTCATGGGTCTTGCCCTTGGCCCATGGATGGAGTGCATTCCCCTTGTGCACCTTGATACCCACTGCAGCCATGGCTGCCAGCCGCTCACTCCAGCCATGGCTGCCAGGTCCATTAGGCCACCGCCCAGAGCTGTAGGCCCGTCCAACACGAAGGAAGCAAAGCGGTCATCTAGGATAAGAGTCTCCAACCTTGACAACTTTACAACTTGTGGACTTCAACTCCCAGAATTCCTCAGCCAATAGTTCTTGGCAGCTATGCTGGCTGAGGAATTCTGGGAGTTGAAATCCACCAGTTATAAAATTGTCAAGGTTGGAGACCCCTGGGCTAGGAAGTCCCAAGTAGAGGTGGTAGAGCATGCCCAGGGCCAGCAGACAAAAGGCCATCCCAAATGGAGAAAGCTGGATCCTCATCGGCGCCATGGTTGCTCAGCCCCAGTAGAGATGGGGAATCATGCAATCTTGGCTGGGCTTGGGCAGCCATGGCATCAATGGGGATCTGGCTTTCCCCACTTGGGATGACCTTTTGCTTGCTGGCCGTGGGTATGCTCTACCGTCTCTACTCAAGCTTCCTAGCCGGCTGCTTCACCTCCTTTGTGCTGGGCAGGCTTGTAGCTCCAGGTGGCGGTCTAATGGACCTACGTGAGCTGCTGGTGGTGCCGGCCTGAGGTGGGGCCAAGGTGTGTCAGGTGCCTGAGGGGAACAGGCTCCACGCACGGGCTAAGGGCAAGTCATTCTGCTAGATTTCAGAATTAACAGATCAATGTATTTATATTTCTTTGTCATGCCAATTTATATTCCATTCTTGCACAATAAATGTTTTCTAAAAATCATTTGAAATGCTACAATTTGCAATTGATACCAGTATTCTCCTTTCAGACAGTTGGCTGAAGAAAAATATCAAGAAAATCTTAAAAGAATGCAAGAACTTAGATCCCGTAATTTTCACCAAATTAATATAGATGTACTTCATGTAAGTACTGATTCTACCTTTTTCATTTTTCTAAAAATTTACAGTGAATTTCTATAATATTTTATCTTATTCATAGTATGGATAGTTGATATAGTAGAGAAAGTAATAATTAATCTTGTATATGTGAGTTTTCAAAAAACATTTAAGAGTATAAATTATAGTACTCTTTAGTCCTTAGTTTATAAAAGCACTATATACTTTAAACTCATTTATGAAAGTAGTTAGAACAAATTAATTTAAAACTAACTGAAAATGAATTATGTTTATGCATATTATATCTTAATTTAATGAATATCATAAAGCCAATATTTATTCTAAATTATTTTGGGATCACTTTATAATTTATTATTTTGCACAAGTGAAACATACTATATGTGGCTAACATTATTTGTTAATTATACTAATTTAGTTTTTCCAAAACAGTGTGCTTCCTCCTATAAAAATTCTCAATTTCTCCTAAGATGCTCCAAAGAAAATATTATATTAATCCAATTCCAATAACATGATTTGATATGATATAAACAGTTTTGCTGGCTTTGGGGTTCCATTAGCTTTATGTATTTAAAAAACTCATAAGAAATTTTTTTTTAAAAGCCATTCTTCATAGAAAATCCCATTGGTTCTAGTCAGAATATATTAAGTAAGTTATGGCCAAATTATGATCCTACTTTTGTCTTTTTTTAATTGCTTTAAATAAGGAAACTGATCAAGACCGTTCAGAACACATTAAATCCCAGCCTGTCATTGCACTGGACTATTTTTCCATAGGATGCAGTAACGAAAGGAACAGTGATACAGTAGCCAGACTGCGTGAATCTGATCCAACAGAGCATGGTAAGAACTATAAGTATATATTTTCATTTCTCTGTGTCATTAAAATATTATGAGATGCAACTAACTTTTGTAAGGAAAATAGTCAAATTTTAAGTATTTAAGAAAAATGAAACAATTGTTCTAAAATAACTAGACCCATGTGCATTTTCTATGTGAAATAATTCATCTTATGTGTATATTGAGCATATTTTTCATAGTGCTGGAGGTCTGAAGCAGTTAATCCATTAAAGATCAATAGGACACCCATAGATTTCCAGTTGAAACTGTCCAGAGAGGAGTCAGTCTATGAAGTTAACTAGTGCATACTATATCTATTGCTTCAGTGCTGGAGTGCAACTCCTTTGGCATAAATTAAACAGTAGAAAGAAAATTCTATAGGCTATTAATAAACTTTGTTAAAAACTAGGCTAAGTCTAAGACACTTTGCTGGGCAAATATTTAACTAACATTGTGTTCTGTTTTAAAACTTTCAATCTAATATGAGAGAAGTTAACAATTTTTTGCTTGTTGGGACCACATTTAACTTTTGGCATCTTCTGAGAGTTGTAGAAAGTTGGGCAATTATGCAAAGTGGCAAAGACTGCATTATGAACATGCAAAGGGTTGACATCAGATTTTGCAGGCATAGGACTTTGGGGCCCACTTTGTTTTTAAATTGGTTTAGGACTTAAAATATACACTTTGTGTTTCCTTTATCAAAATGTTTGGGAGGCAAATACTTAGGCATGATTAGAAAAGGGTCTAGAAATAATCTTTTTAAATAACTCATCATTGACAATATGGTTTTCTGATGGGATTAACTTGAATGAGTGATACTTATCAAAAGCAAATATTCAGGTTGAATTCCATATAAAAAATCAAGGATTTCTTAATCAGACATAAACTAATTTTGAACCCAGCTGAATAAATGGATACAGATAAGAAATCAGAGGTAGATCAACCTAAAAAGTTGACACCAAAGAAGAAGATGTGGCTGAGGTGTCCATACAGGAATGTGCTATTTTATCTAAAATAGAGATTAAGACTATTAAAAAGGGTCTAGAAACCACAAAGGACTTCAAGAACTGCAACAGCTTGTGAATGCAGTGTATCCAATTCTCTCCTACTTTATCTTTACAATATTGCATTACAATGATCTCTTTATGAAAATATAGCATGTGTTTGCTGCTATGTGTTTCTTTTATGTGAAAGTTATATACAGGTAATCACTTTGTATAGCTTTCAAATGCTGCAAGGAAAATCTATAGCTGTTATTTGATTGAGGAATTTATTGTGTGCTTTATGTTAATCTAAAGTTTATGATGTATTTAATAGTTTTGTGATACTTTTATAAAATCTGGAGGATAACAAATGAAGCTGTATTACCTAATTCATCTGAGAAGTATTAGCCTTCCTTGATTGTGTGTCCTAAAATACTAAGCAACTGTTCCCAAAACAAATATTGAATAGGCAGGAATAAGAGTAAATGAAGTGGAAAAAGGTTCTCCAGAAAGCAGTTAATTCAGGAGTGTGCTTTGATAACTTTGTTCAAAACCAGACTTCAACATGGCTCTTGCTAAACCAAATCATGAACTACACCTGATCAAATGTACATCAAAATTTAATTGAGATATAAATGCTTTTGGCCATATCACATTGTTTCCAGTAGACCACTTAAGTAAATATTCATGCTGATTGGAGTATAGGGATCAAATCAATGAACACTTAGGACACAAGGAGAAAAAAATGCAAATAAATAGGAACATGAAACTTGAGTAATATTCAAGTTCTGTCTGATTTTGGCTGTTTTCCCACAAAACTGGGCAAGAGGTAATATAAACATAGAAGCAATAAGTATCTTCTGTGATTGTCTCCAGATTTTTGAGAAATGTTCTGTTAGAGTTAGGTTAATTGTGCAAATTCTCGAAAAGAAATGCTTCAGAAACAAGTATTTCTGTAGTTGCTACTCAAGCCTAGAAAAAGAAGTATCTGGTTTAAGAGTTTGAACAGAATGCTGCAAATTTGTTTCCATGCATCCAGTTTTGGTCACCACGATGTAAAAAAGATGTTGAGACTCTAGAAAGAGTACAGAGACTGTCCACTACAATGGCTGTCCACTCTCTTCTTAAAAACTTCCAGTGTTGGAGCATTCACCACTTCTGGAGTCAGGCTGTTCCACTGATTAATTGTTCTCACTGTCAGGAAGTTTCTCCTTAGTTCTAGGTTGCTTCTCTCCTTGATTAGTTTCCACCCGTTGCTTCTTGTCCTGCCTTCAGGTGCTTTGAAAAATAGCTTAATTCCCTTTTCTTTATGGCAGCCCCTGAGATATTGGAATACTGTTATCATGTCCCCCTTTGTCCTTCTCTTCGTTAAACTAGACATACCCAATTCTAGCAACCGTTCCTTATATGTTTTAGCCTCCAGTCCCCTAATCATCTTTGTTGCTCTTCTCTGTACTCTTTCTAGAGTCTCAACATCTTTTTTACATCGTGGTGACCAAAACTGGATGCAGTATTCCAAGTGTGGCCTTACCAAGGCATTGAAGAGTGGTATTAATACTTCACGTGATCTTGATTCTATCCCTCTGTTAATGCAGCCTAGCACTGTGTTGGCCTTTTTGGCAGCTGCAGCACACTGCTGGCTCATATTTAGGTGATTGTCTACTAGGACTCCGAGGTCCCTCTCACAGTTACTACTATTGAGCATGGTGCCACCTATGCTGTACTTGTGCATTTGGTTTTTCTTGCCTAAATGTAGAACCTTGCTTTTTTCACCATTGAATTTCATTTTGTTAGTTAGTGCCCAGTGTTCAAGTCTGTCCAGATCCTTCTGTATCTTAAGCCTGTCTTCTGGAGTGTTGGCTATTCCTGCCAGCTTGGTGTCGTCTGCAAATTTGATGAGTTCCCCATCTATCCCTTCATCCAAATCGTTGATGAAGATGTTGAAGAGCACTGGGCCCAGAACAGAGCCCTGGGGCACCCCACTACACACTTCCCTCCATATAGATGCAGTTCCATTGAGGACCACTCACTGAGTACGGCCGGTCAGCCAGCTATGGATCCATCTGGTGGTGGTTCTGTCTACCCCACATTTTTCTATCTTATCAAGTAGTAGGTTGTGATCTACTTTATCAAATACCTTACTGAAGTCCAAGTAAATTATGTCCACAGCATTCCTCTGATCCACTAATTTTGTCACTTGGTCAAAGAATGCAATAAGATTTGTCTGGCATGATCTATTTTTCACAAACCCATGTTGGCTTTTAGTAATGACTTTGTTTGCCTCTAGGTGTTCGTTGATTCGTTGTTTGATTATCTTTTCCAGGATCTTCCCAGGTATTGAGGTCAGGCTGATAGGTCGATTTTGAAATACTATTGTGGAATATATTTGTACAGCACTATAATTTAGCTTACAGTAGGTGCAGAATATTAGATAGATTTTTTTTACTGTAGCATAAAAGTATTATTTCTAACCAAATAAATATTTATCTTCCAACAAGAAATAAAAGGCATCATTTGATCACACAGCCTAGAGCTTGCTCAAACCCAATGATTTATTATTATTGGATTTGGCTTTTCGTTCTATCCCCTACCTAACATTTTCCCTCAAAGTATATTTGCATTCCATCTCTCTTTAATATGACTCACTTTTGTTCTTGAGAGGAAATGTAAGAGGTCAGGGTCAAAAACTAAACTGACAGGAACGAATCAGCAAATATGCAAAATGATACATATACCACCCAAGGCTGCCTAAAATGAAAGAAATAATTTATTAAGTGCAGATGAATATATGCTAATAAAAAATGTAATGAGACTATTTATATTAACTGAGGATCATTTCTTACTATATCAGGCAGCTGTGTTATGGAGATTTATTCTTTTCAGAAAATTCCCAAACAATTTTAACTCCCGTCTGACTGAAACCAAGGCAAACCATGACTGCAGAATCCAACTGTTAAGTTATCTACTGCTAAGCAAGAGTGCTTTGCAGCTGCCAGCAAACCTTGACATGCTGTCATTTCTATTCACTTCAGTAGCTTAGTGCATATATTGTCCACAAATCAACATCCAGGCTCAGCACAGAATTCAGAAGCTAGCCTAAAGCAAGAATAAAATGAGCTTTTACAGTTGTTCAAAGAAAGTGCCTTGATTTATTAATTCATAGATAACTTAATAAAATTCAAGTATCAAATGCCTTTAGTTTGTATTTTACCTGCAAAAGTGGATGAGTGGCAGTTGGAGCCATACTTAGGGAGTGCTCCATATGCAATTCCTTTACAATACATTGAAGACTGGGTTAGGAGACGTTTAGCATTCATGATTGCATAAGCACCTGGAATACCCATTTTTCTTTTTAAAAATGGTTTATTTAGAGGAGGAGTTTGGCAACAGATAGTAGAACAACTTGCAACAAATTCCATTTTGCTTTAAGGCATGAGAAGGATTAATTTCCTGCTACACCTCTTGATACATGATATTCTTTGATTGGGCTTTTATATTGTTTTAGTGTAATCCCAATCAGTTGCTGACACATTTTTAATCCTATTCTCTTTTGTGAAGTCCTTGGTGTTCCCGAGCTTGGTCGTATTCTTGCAGATGTCTCATTACCAAAATAGATAACTTCATCAGGAGCACCTCACAGTTCAACCCTGGGCTATAAATATTTCCTTCTATTGATTTTCTCTAGTAAAATCAAGTAAAATCAAGAAATGAAGGGAGAATTCTCTGTGGACATTCAAGCCGTCAATTAGATTAAAATACATTAATACCATGTTTCCCTGAAAATAACACCTGGTCTTATTTTATTTTTATTTTGCCTCCAAAAGAGGCACCAGGTCTTATTTTCGGGGGATGTTTTTTTCTACTCATCTCACGGTAACAGCCCCGCCCAGCCTGCCTACTTCTTCTGTGGCCAAAGAAGCAGTTGCATTCTGCAGCTGAGAATGGAACTCTGGCCTGCATTTTGCAGTCAGAGGCTCCAGAGGCCTTCTGGAAAGGCCCCTGACTGCAAATTGCAGGCCG